CACCGGTGTCGAAAATTCCCAGGGCCGTTCGCAGCAAAAGTCTCCAAGTTCCACGCTGCAAGTCTCGCGGCGAAGGATGTCAAATACTTCAGAGAGCTGGAAAAGATGCACGAGCAGTACGGTGACTTCGTGCGCACAGGTGAGCGAACAACCAACTGAGGCTTTGCACGAGCAGATGTTAATAGTCATCAAAGGTCCCCGAGAGATCAGTGTTCTACGCAAGTCAGCTGTTTCGATTCTTTATGGGCCCAACTCGGAATGTTTGAAGTCAACATGGTACGGCCAAACCGGGAACGACCCAAAGAAATGTTCCATACACATGACGCGTGACTTCAACGGCCACCGCCTTCGTCGCCGAGCATGGGATCGCGGGTTTTCCATCAAAGGTGTGTATAGGCTCACGAGTTACACGAGTACCTCTAACTTTACAAGCGCTCAACACCTACGAACCACGCATCAAGGCAAAGGCGGACTTGTTCAAGTCCCAACTGGCAACTAAAGGAGCAACGTCAATGGATGTGTCCACCTGGTCCATGTTCTTCAGCTTCGACGTCATGGGTGAGGTCGGCTTCGGCAAAGACTTTAACAATCTTACGAGCGGTGTCGAGCACCCTGCTATCAAGGGAGTGCATGCCCACATGACCATGCTGGGAATCATGAGCACGGTTCCGTGGCTCTTGAACGTTCTGGGCTCTATTCCTGGAGCGGCGGCGGGCTACTCGGACTTCTTCTCCTTCTGCGCAGGCCAGATTCGCGAAAAGCACAAGGTATGTGTTGTGATCGTATTACCGGTGACAGACAATTAACGAAATATAGACCTGGGACGGCGAGAAGTATCCGCAAGACGTCGTATCCTGGTTACTCAAGGCTGTCAAAGAGAACGATGTCTCCGCATCGCCAAGCCCAGAAGCCTTGGAGGACGATTCGAGAGTGATGATCATTGCCGGAAGGTAGGCAATTCTGATGTAGAACCCCAAAGACGCTGCTGACGGGATGTAGTGAAACTACAGCCACCACGCTCGCAGGAGCTCTTTACTACCTCGCCAAATGCCCCGACAAGCAGAAAAGGCTCCAGCAATTCCTCGACCGAGCAATGCCAGGTGGATACAGCCAGTGGTCGTACGAAAAGGTCAAGTCCATCTCTTATCTGGATGATTTCCTCAGCGAGACACTGCGACTTCGTCCCGCCCTATTGACCGGTGGAGCGCGCGAAACACCAGCAAAGGGCATCCAAATTGACGACACGTATATTCCCGGCAACACGAACGTCGTGATTCCAGTCTCGCTCATCCAAAGGGACCCTCGATGGTGGCAGCAGGCTGAAGACTTCGTCCCAGAGCGCTTTGGTGAAAAGAGGTTAGAGATGGAGACTGATCAGGCTCCCTACCTGCCTTTCTCTCTGGGTAAGTCCTTTCATACGGTCGTCGTTCTAGACTCGCAGTCAGCAGCTAACATTCTCGTAGGCGCATACAGCTGCCCCGGCAAGAACCTGGCCCAAATGAGCTTACGTATCTCGCTTTCGATGATCGCGCAGAATTTCGACGTCTCCTTCGCGCCTGGAGAGAATGGAGAGGCATTTGAGAAGGAGATAATGGACACATTCACCGTGACGCTTCCGGCTCTTCAGCTACGATTCACCCCGCGCAAGAGTGCTTGAGTATTGGGTGAAGGATGCTGTTGAGCATGCATCTTGGATGTGCCTCAAGTTGGGCCTGTGAAGGATGAAAGCTTGCGCATATCCGTATTCCAACTATGGGAGTTGGCAGCAGGAGGCTGATGGTGTGTAGTACCGAATTTAATGGGAGGGGTTGTGAATCCTCCAGCTGTCGCATGCAGCTATCCAAACTGGTTTTCTACTCGCTAGTGGTGGTGTTCCATGATGATGGTGCGCACAGACGTTGTACTAGTAGCTCTTTCGCGCAACCCGTTTTTCAAGCGGCTTGGTGTTGTCTAGATCTTAAAAGTATTCTGGTAACGCGACGCGCGAAGCATTGGGGAGAGAGCAGAACAACAGCCCGCTCCTAAGCCCAAGATGAAATTCGGGGAAAAGGCTCGATCTAGAGGCATCCAACGTTGTTAGCCCGGTGTTGGTGTTTTGTGCGCGCACTTCTTCGGAAAGATCTCGTCATGGTCGACCGCGACGTTTTGTATCGGAGTGGAATGTTCGCAAAAGCCTATGCTAAAGGAAGCATCGCATCGCTCTGCCAAGTCAGCATTCACGAGATCACAAGGTACAGATGCGTACATCGTCATCAAGCCCCCAATACTTAAAACAAAAGCTCGGCTAAAGTTCCAGCTCAAACGTCCATTAGCGCTCAGGCCCAGAGACCAAAAGACGGCACGGATTCTATAGCGCACGTAGGCGGTACTTAAATTCGGCTCCAAACGGCTGTCTCCAGGGATAGGGGCTCGATACGCACTGCGCTCAGACTCACACCTAAGTGATCATAGGGAAGCTTGCCCATTTGGCCTCGGCTCTTCGGGACATCTGAAGCCTCCAAATAAAGTATAATTTGTGGCTTCAAGCTTCGACCACCTGAAAAGCATCTCACGCTCGCTGAGTGTTCGTATAATAGAAGCCAATGTTTCGTAGGCAGATGCAGCCGAGCGAGGGGCCTGGGTTAAAAAGCTTGTCGGGTGATCTTCCGTTCAAAGTAGCTAGGTACCCTTACTCTAGACCTACTTGAGCTCAGCCTTTTATCGCGCCATGCCCTCCAAATCAGGTCTGGGGGTGTTGTAGTTTGCGACTGCCCCAACTTAACGTAGTGTCCAATATCGCAGAAAAGCCATAGTTTGTGGTTGAGCCCGGCATTCGGATCTCACTAGCATTGCCCAGGACTTGGAAGAAGCGAAGGCGCGTATATAGAAAAGATGATCGCCAGGTTTGATATGCTATCATCAGGATACCGCATATTTTTGATCTTCTAGCGCCAGTCATCATGCGCACTTCATTGTCACTCGTTACTTTGTTAGTCTCTCTGGTCTCTGCGGTACCAGTTGCAGAGCACGAAAAGAGACAGAATGCTGAATTCGACTATGTTATTATCGGTGTAAGTTGTCGCTCATCTAGCTTGCGCCAGCCTGTAAAGAATTGGTTGCGCTAACATGTAGTAAAGGGTGGTACCGCGGGCCTTACACTTGCTAATCGTTTGTCTGAAGACAGCACCATGAAGGTCGCTGTCATTGAGGCCGGGGCTCTCTATCAGATCGCGAATCCGCTGTTGTCGTCGACTCCAGCTGGAGATGTTCTGTGGTCGGGCTCCAGCCCATTAGATCAGAACCTTCTCGTGGATTGGAACTTCATTACCGCCCCTCAAGCCGGCGCGAATGGTAGGCGAGTCAAGTACGCGCGAGGAAAGTGCCTGGGTGGAAGCTCGGCTCGAAACTTCATGATCTACCAGCGGGGCGATCGCGGCTCGTACCAACGCTGGGCAGATGAAGTCGGAGACGACTCGTACACTTTCGATAACTTGATGCCGTATTTCAAGAAGTCCGTCAAGTTTACACCACCCAACACCAAGCTTCGTGCAAGCAATGGCTCTGCCGAATACGTCGCAAGTGCCTTCGATGCTAGCGGCGGGCCTCTGGATGTGTCCTACGCGAACTACGCTGGACCTTTCTCAAGCTACATGGAAGGAGGCATGAACGGCATTGGTATCCAGACTAGGCCTGACTTCAACTCTGGGGAACTCATGGGAGCTCAGTACTGTAGCTCGACGATCACGCCCGGCAACCAGAAGCGCGCGTCGAGCCAAACAACCTTTCTCGAGGCTGCGAAGAGTCGTCCTAACCTGAAGGTGTACACACTGACTCGCGCCGAGAAGATTATCTTCAATAGCGAGAAGCGTGCCACTGGTGTCCAGTTACCACTTGGAATCGTCCTTACCGCAAAGCGTGAAGTGATCCTTTCGGCCGGTGCTTTCCAGTCTCCTCAGCTGCTTATGGTCTCTGGAGTTGGGCCTGCTGCACAGCTCAAGAAGTTCAACATCCCCGTCCTTGCTGACCGCCGGGGTGTTGGTCAGAATATGCAAGATCACATCTTCTTCGGTCCAACCTACCGCTACAAAGTCCAGACGCTCACGAAGCTCGCCAATGACCTTCTTTATGTCGGCGCTCAATTTGCATTCGATTATGGCCTGCTCAAGAAGGGTCCCCTCACCAACCCCGTATGCGACTTCCTAGCCTGGGAAAAGGCTCCTCGTAACCTTATCTCTTCAGAAGTTGCCGCAGCGCTGGACCAGTTCCCTGCTTCCTGGCCCGAGATTGAATACCTCTCTGCACCCGGCTATATTGGCGATTTCTCCAATCTCTTCGCAAGCCAGCCCAAGGACGGCTACCAATACGCGTCCATTCTCGGCGCTCTTGTTGCGCCCCTCTCCCGTGGTTCAGTGACCATCACAAGCTCTAGCACAGCTCAGCTCCCTTCGATCGACCCGGGCTGGTTGACTGACCCCACTGATCAAGCCCTCGCGGTTGCAGCCTACAAGCGCATGCGTCAAGCCTTTGCTACAGACGCCATGAAGGCTGGTCTCGCGGATAGGAAAGAATACTTCCCTGGACCCAAGGTTGAGACCGATGAGCAAATCCTCAACACCGTTCGCGATACCGTAAGTCTGCCAAGTCTACCGAACCGGCATGTACTAACGATAGCAGTTGATGACTGTGTGGCACGCTTCTTGCACGTGCAAGATGGGAAAGATTGACGATCCAGATGCAGTCGTGGATAGCAAGGCGAAGGTTATTGGTGTGACCGGTTTGAGGGTTGTCGATGCTAGTTCATTCGCACTATTGCCTCCCGGGCATCCACAGGTATGCCATCTTATTCCGCCTCGTTCGTGCATCACTGACTTTCCACCAGAGTACGATATACGCGTTGGCAGAGAAGATTGCCGACGACATCAAGCGCAGCCGGTAAGTCGCGCGCGCAGAAGCCGTACTAGACAGCGCCGACGTTTTCATTGAGAGATTCAAACCCAAGCGCAACATATTGTCCGCTGTCGTTACAGTGAAGTCACCTTTTCTGCAAGTTCGGGCAGCGTTGCAGCCACAACGTCCATCTTGCCAAACACATCGTCTAATGCCTCCTTCTCCAACACCAAGCAATATGCTGTCTTGAACCCTGCCCTACCCGCTGCGCTTACATCCCAACCGTGTGCAGCCGCGAACCAAAGATCACCAGCTTTGCTGTCAACACCAATCTTTCCTATCAGCTTCTCGTACGCCTTGAGATCCGGTTTTCCCACACCAACGTCGTCACACGTTACAATATGCTCGTTGTCGATGTCAATGTTGCCTCTTTCGAAGTAGCCCATGACTCTTGGCCGGTCTCCACTAGTGAACGCCCAGACTGTCCAGCCAGCCTTCTTCATTATGTCCACACATTCCTTTGCGCCCGGTCGGACTTCACACTTCGTATACTCTTGTATGAAATACTTTACATCTTCCTCGGTCGCTGTGCTGCGCGGCTCTGCTACGCCAGTGAAATGCAGGATGCGGAAGAAGATGGATTCGAAGACCTTCGCGAAGGGCACGTATGAACCCGAAATCGAGAGGTAGGTGTACTAACGCTCCGCGATTTCTAACTAAGCAAAACCAAGGAGGCGTGCGGAGATGTTGTTGGCCTGAAGTTTGGGGCCCAGGCGTTGGTCAATGACGGCATAGAAATGCTCGTGCGACACAAGCGTGCCGACTATATCGAAAATGATGTGCTTCGCTCCAGACATGGTACCGGACTTGGCTGATGCGCATACCTTGATCGTGGTGCTTTGCTGAGATGTCAGGTCTTCGTTGTGATGAGGCTCTACATACATGCAAGGCACGTCAAGCACGCCCCGCGCGCCATCAGGGTGTGTGTTGCTCACAGATTACGTCATCACATAACGTGACATTCGCCATGTTTGGGATCGCACACATGGCATTTTGCGCAGTACGACTAAGACCATGGTGATATCTCATCATTTCTCCATTATGACTACATGCAATTGTGTGACGCCGGGAAGAGCTCCACAGAGAGGGGCGCATCGTAATGGTTGACTCCGTCCCGTGAAATGGAGCTCTCGTCATAGAATATCGGTGCCTTCATCTTTAGTCAAAGAACCGTCACCATACTAATCACTCAACTTCTTCATGCGCCATCATCAGCTCATCTAAGCCATCATTGTTATCGCATCGTTCGCAGCCCAAGCGGCTATCTCAAGTAGCACCAATGCATCCGATTGGTCGGCGCACAATCTTTCCCAAATAGGACCGAAACACCGTGCGATATCAAACAGCCGTTAACGGCGATGCAGATCTGGCATGCGACGCGTGGATGTGTTCATGTGGGGAAGAGAAGGGATAGAGATACTGATACGTCATGATAAAGGAAGAAGCAGACAGGGTCAAAGCTATACCCGCAAATGCGTGTCACCAAGAAGAGCCAAAGACAATGTGTAGTAAAGGCATAGAGATGGATTCTACATAGAAAAGGGGAGGGAATAGATGCGCTATGAAAATCATCGCTAAGAGTCATTACAAAGAATGCTGTCAAACAACAAACCCCAAAGTACGAGTTCAAAGCCTCAAGTACTCATAACACCCAAACACCAAGGCCATGCATCGTGAATCGTGATAGTCAAGACTTTGCTTACCAAGCAAGGTCGCTCTTCTCGTTGTCGTTGCCGCAAGCAAGACCCTCGCAGAAGTCCTCCATCTCTTTGCTGATGGCCGAGGCACCAGTGGGCTCGAGTTGCTGCTTAGCAGGCCAGATCTTTTGACCGGCCTTCTTCTCCTTCGCGCCGTGCTCCATGACGATCTCGCGACATCGCTTCTGGAAGAAGAGTGGGCCCTTCTCCATGTGTGGGTGCAGCTCACCGTTGACAAAGATGCCGGCCTCGATGTTCTTCTGCGCACGCTCACATAGAACCTTGTCCTCGCCCATGACGCGCTTGTAGGTGTCGCTAATGAGGTTGAAGTCCTCGTCGTTCGAGTGCTTGTTGCGCCAGACCTCGTAGTACATGACTGACTCGGTAGGTGACTTGGGCATGAACTTCTGCATGAAGAGGAAGTGTTTTGTGACGGTGAAGGAGGCGTTGGGGAAGCAGTACGTGGAGCAGATCTCTTGGCCGAGGTCCTTGCGGTCTTGAGGGGTCTTGGGGTCGTGCTGGATGTGGTCTGCCGAGCAGTAGACGTCGTAGCTCTCGAGGTCGATCAAACCTGTTGTGAGATCGGGGTGTGTGCTCTTGCAGTGGTAGCACTCGTTGAAGTTGTCGGCGAGAATCTTCCAGTTGAATGGGCCGTCGAGGTTCCAGGTGTGGTCAAACTCGTAGTCGTCAAAGTTGAACTGACCAAAGCGCGCCTGTTCGTCGACGTGGTCGAACTGTGACTCCCATGACACCTCGGGCTCCTTCTTCGCATCCATGTTGATCCAGACAAAGCCGTTGCGGTCGATGCGTGTGTGAATGGGGAAGAGACCGTTCTTGGCCTTCTCGAAGTTCTGGAGCTCCTGGTATCCGGGCGCCTTCGCGAGCTTGCCGTTGAGGCCATACGACCAGCCGTGGTACTTGCAGGAGAAGATCTTAGCATTGCCACCATCCTTCTCAACTACGGGATACGCGCGGTGTCTGCATACGTTGTGGAATGCGTTGATCTCACCGGACCGGTCCTTGGAGACGACGATGTCGTAGTTGGCGACGTTGTAGCGGAGGAAGTCGCCAGGGTTGGCGAGTCGCGACTTGTGGGTAAGAATGAGCCATCTTCGGGTGAAGATGGCGCGTCGCTCGAGTTGGTACATCTCTTCAGAGGTATACCAGTTGGCGGGGAGGGCCCGTACGGGCTGGTTCTCTGGTGGAGCCTGGGCGGCGGCTGAGCCGCCAAAGCCAAGGTAGCTCAGGAGTGACCCGACCATTGTGAAGGATGCGTGTTGAAATGTGGTGTTATGCTTGTTGTAGGATAGTGGAGTGCTAAAGGTAACTGGAAGCGACCACGATTGTGTGTTGTACAAGTCTGATAAAGAGGATGGACGTCAGGTTGAGGATGTCGCAGGCGTTATTATACCCTCTTCTCGAGGTTCTTAACTCCTCACTCTTATCAAGTAAGACAAACAACTAAGTCCCCATGGGGTTATGGCTTCCATTCGTGCCCGAGGAGCGATAACCAGTGGGACGTGGGAACGTAATTCGGCTGCAGGTGACCGTCAAGCGCCACACAACCTGACTATTTTTGACGTCTCTCCGTTACCGCACGTTCTGCCATCGTGATCAATTCAACATTCTAGAATGCTGTGCTAGAGCTCAACGGCGTCATATGACTGGGCAGCGTCGTATTACCCCAGAGTAGTTTCATTGACTGTGCATACAATGCAGGAGAAAATCATGGTGACTGAACGTATAGACCGTTCTCGTCATTGCCCCTCATGTTGGCACGGACTTGAATGGATCTGATTTCCAAATGCGGACAACGGACGCCAGCCCAAGGCGCGATCAGACTGCGACCACCAAGTTCTGGCGGGACTATTACGGTCGCATTATCCAAGTGCTATCGCGCTCTTATCGAAAATCTTCACTGAAGATGTTGATCGCAGCTGTTATCGTCGAGATATCGAGATAGCGATGCTATCTTGATGAGCTGTCGGGCTTGGATGTAGTACCGCAGCTGATAACGTCTGCTGGACTATAGCCCATGATACTCTGATCGAGGGTATAGAGCGAACGTCGGAGCACACGTACCGTTGAGCGCGTTGTCATTGAGTGCGAATGACGCCACACGAGTCGCGCAACGCATACGACAGCAAAGCGTCACTGGTCTCGATGGAAGCGCCTCTGTTCGTGGATGGTTACCGCAGCAGCTCGCGTGTCACTACCCCTCCTGACGATATGGAGAGTAATCGGGAGGGTTTGGGTGCTTTTGGCAATCGCAGTCGTGAATTTGCCGGCTGGTGCTGACAGCGCAGCAACGTGTTACGTTGGGCATGCCCTAACACTGTAGGCGTCTGGGGTGATTTGGCGATATAAGCTGTCGTTTGTCTCGCAGCATCGACTCATCGATGAACGCAACCAGAGACAACTTCAAGGTGAGTCCATTGCGAAGACTGCTCAGGGCGTGACTCAGTGATCGAGGGCATGCGATGTGGGTGACACCACACGGGTCGGCATCATGGTCCAGATGGGTCTGCCTTTCTGCACGTGGTACTGTGCAGTTGCCGATTAAAAGGGGGTTGTGCTCTCGAGAAGCCCCGTAGGATCGAGGCTGGGTCCGGGAGGGTGATTGTCGCATGGCTTTTATTGCCACGCTTCCAAGGCCTAGTGTCTTTCACACCGGCTTTGTGGTCGCGATGGGTTGGCGCAAGGTTTGATGGCGGAAAGTCACCCTCAATGTTGAAGCAACGCTTATCCTTGTTACAATGATATATTGTAGCGAGCAAGATCGGTGAATCTTTGCGGCACGACAGCCGCATTAGGTTCGATTGACGGGAAAAGCATGCTAAGCTCTCCATACTATGCATACTTACCTGAAATCCAGGTCTGATATCAGACGAGACGAATTTTGGGTTGGAGTAAAGATCGTGAGAAAGACGGGATGGTGTTGCGCACACGCGAGGCGGGGTTGTTGCAGGCTATTGTAGTCCCGAGACGATTTGCCTCTATGCGTCCGCACCATAATCACTAATCCCAAAATGGACATCAGGACCCTACGTCCACGACTGGCATCTTCCCCACCAATGTCGTAAGTATCGCATGCGGGGCGGTGGGCTGCTTCCGTGCATCACTCTGCCGTTGGCCACACCGTGGGAATTATTTTGCCAATTGAAGTTTGCGCTGCGCTTAGTTTCGGCTTCTATGATGGCAGAGCGTAGTGAAATGGTCCGTTATCGCGAGTGCAAGCAGCTTTAAGAGGAGTTCGTCCTACAGCCTTGAGCAACCAACTGCCCAATTCCATACTTTTCAACTCTTTTGCAATGGCGACCTCCCAGCGCGTTGTCATTATCGGCGCCGGCGTTGTCGGCACTAACCTCGCTGACGAGCTGGTTTCACGAGGATGGAACAACATCACCGTCGTTGAGCAGGGTCCATTGAGCATGCCCGGTGGCTCAACATCGCATGCGCCCGGCCTAGTCTTCCAGACCAATCCCTCCAAAACGATGACCTTACTCGCGAAGTACACAGTCGAAAAGCTACAAGCGCTCGAGAAAGACGGACAGAACTGCTTCAACCAGTTGGGTGGCTTGGAAATTGCGACGACTCCAGAACGACTGGAGGAGCTCAAGCGCAAACACGGATATGCGCAATCATGGGGTATCGAGGCAAACTTGATCAGTCCCGATGAATGTCTCGAGAGGTACCCTCTCCTTAACAAGGACATGGTGCTAGGTGGTCTTCACATTCCAAGCGATGGCCTAGCGCTAGCAGCTCGTGCGACACAGATCCTCATCGAAAACACGCGCAACGCCGGCGTCAAGTACCTCGAGCACACCGTCGTTACCGGAATCGAGCAAGCGGACGGCCGTGTCACCGGTGTGACGACCAACAACGGTTCTGTACCAGCGGATATAGTTGTATCGTGTGCTGGATTCTGGGGCGTAGAGATTGGAGCTATGATTGGGCTCAAGGTTCCTCTCCTTCCTCTAGGGCACCAGTACGCGAAGACTACAGCTGTCCCCGGTCTCGAGAATCGCGGAGTCAACAAGAAGATCAACGCCATGAACGCCGAGCTGCCGATCCTACGACACCAGGACCAAGACCTATAC